GGCACGAACGGCTTGGCTAAACTATGTGAGTACCTCCCATATGTCATCAGACTGTTGCTAACATATCAGGTGCTCTCAACGCTCAAGTACATGGGCAAACGTCTCAACATAGTCACTACTGGTACAAAGGACACTGACGAGTTCCAACAAGCACTCGCGCACGTCCAAGCAGCAGCAGCGAAGCGTATACCGGAGACACACCCACCGGTTGGAACACCCGTCTTGAAGCGTATGAGGTCTGACACGTCGGCCTTTACACCCATGGTGAAGCTCAAGCCTACATCGACGCTCGACCTTCCGGTCACACTGCAAGACGCGCTTCGTTATGCGGGCATATCATTCAGTCACGACAACATTGAAAGCCTGCAGGATACTCTGCAACAAGCTCAGCTTGAGCGGAGCAAGAAGCTGCAGAGCCACTACGAATCCACCGCGACGTCGGCTCATGATGTAATTGCCGAACGAACAAGCAAAGCAGATACCGACCTGAGGGCGATCTTGAGTGCGCTATATAAGCACGCACCATTCCACCAGGCTAGCTTGACAAATCCGGAACTGGACGAGCAGTTGAAGGCGATGGAGATGGAGCTGGAGAACAAGGACCGCGAGCTGCTGGATGCAGAGGGCAGTGAATTGAGTTTGAGCGACCCCAAAGTTCGCGCGTTCATTGCGAAGTACGGTAAATAAAGCAAGGTTTTGGGTGTCAAGTTTCAGGCAGGTCGGTGCGTTGTCGAGTGGAGCTGACATGGCGAGCTGGGATGATCCAGGCGCGTATCAGGACGGAGTAAACAAGACGTGGAGATGTTGTTTACCGCAGACAAATGGCAGTTTTTGGGCGAGGCCAGCGTGTGTCCTCACCGCTCTGGATCTCGGCGATGAACACGATCAGCTCGTCGGTTGCAAGCGATGGAAGCCACATGTTCGTGGGTGGAGCTCTGGGGGAGTTCAGACCTCGGGTTGGTCGCGAGGAGTGACGAGCTGCAGGCTAGAGCGCCTCCATGTGGCTAGCACCCAGCCCCCGAATAACACTAAACAGCTACGGCCCCTGTCATTGCTGCCCTGAGTAGCTGAGCGACAACAACTCTGCTCTCTTCACACCTCACCAAAGCGCCTATCCCCACTTTCCACGCCGGTTGAACCTGCGCGGGATGCTCGCGCCAGGTACAGGCAGAGACGCAGGCACCCTTTCACTCAATTGAACATCACCCTCACCAAGCCGGTAGCTCCCAGCAGCTGCCACCTCACCGCCCGTCATGGTTAAAGGAGAGATCCTCACGCTCGGTGCTGCCGCCGGTGCCCTTGGGGGTGCCTACAAGCTCGCCGAGTTCCTCACCAAGGCCAAGCGCGTCCGCGACGTTGGCCCATCCAACGCCGTCTACGTGCGCATCATTGGCCGCGTCCGATCCGACCTCGACGAAGTGCGACGCCTGCTGTCCATCCGCGAGATCCACGACATCCTCGAGGCCAACCCGGAAAAGTCAAAGTGGGTCTACGGATGCATGCGCGACGTGCGCGGCGCCCTTGAGAACATCACGCCGCACACGGAACGCGTCGCCGGCGATGTCGAGGACGGCCGCCGCATCGGCATGCGGCACCGCGTCTACTGGCTGCTCAGCGAGAAGGAGAAGCTCGAGAACCGGGAGAAGGAGCTCGCCATCGCGCATTCCAGTCTCAGCGAGGTCATCGGCTACCTGACTGCTCTGGAGCCAGTCGAGGAGCCCAAGAAGCCCAAGGCGACCACCAAGGAGACGCACATCGACATCGACATCCATCAGGAGCCTCCCCAGCCCCAGCCCCAACCCCAGGCCGCCCACACGACGCACATCGAGAGGGATGTCTGGGTCGAGCGTGATGGCGCGCCGCCGCGACACGTAGAGGAGCACCGCGATGTCTGGGTTGAGCGCGACCGTCAGCCCCCAGCTCACTACGAAGAGCGTCGCGACGTGTACATCGACGAACACCAGCGTGGACCCCAGCACTTCGACGACCGCGGCCCTGCTCCCCGTCACGACGTCCACTTCGAGCAACAAGGTCGTGACGGCCGCTACGAGACCCACTACGACGAGCGCTACCAGCAGGAAGACCACTACCGCTCTCAGTACCCCATCGAGACTCAAGGCACCTACAACCCGCGCTTCCCCGAGCCCCTTGGCCGCCGCCCTGAATCGTACGAGGACCGTCTCCCCGAGCGCGACTCCTGGATGCAGAGCAACGCGCGCGCCCAACGCCCAGGTCAGTACGGCCCTCGAGCCCCTGCGTACGCCGAATACGGCGCCCCGCAACCCATTGGTGCAGCGCACTATTCGCGTAGGTTCCAAGGAGACGCGGGCTTTGGCGACGAAGAAATACTAAATCCACAACCAGTGCCGTTGGACAGGAACTACGCCGACCGCGAGGTGAGTGGTTACAACACTGCTGGCTACCCGCCCCGCCCCTACGGTAGCAAGCTCTAGCTGTTAGCACAAGGCTAACTTGCTGGGCAGATGTGGATTGAACAAAAGGAGGACTACCGCTTCGATCAGTATGGAAACAGGCTGCCGGATAGGCTCTTCCAGCCGGCTGTCCCTAGGCCCTATCGCAGCCGCATGTAAACAACTTGCAATACCTCTTTTGATTACGATCTTAATCTCCTTGTTACCCTGTCATGAGCCCTTTTTGTCCTTTTGCTTTACGCAAGCATGTACACCCCCTGCGAAGCCCCGAGCCCGATCAATGTTTCTATGTAGCTGCCAATTTAAGTTGATACCTTTCCGACCGGTCGCTCTTTCCTCGTTCGCCTCGCGTGGTTTCTTGGCGACGCTATCGTCGTCGCTTCCTTTCAGAGATGCGACAAGCCCATGTTCTCACATTTGAAGATGGTATCATGGCTCCCCCTCGCTTCCGGCTTCACACCCACGGTACTCACTGTACCGCTACCAGACGACGACACCACAGACCCTGAGAGATTGAGGGATGGATAAATCCTGTCCTGCTCACCTTTCTTTCTCGTCCTTTCGACTTTCAGATAAGTATTACAGACACCCACCACTAACCAAAAACGACACCAGACTACAAACCTCTCACCACCAACAACGCCATCATGGCGCCCCCCCGCACGAACCCCCTCAAGGAAGCCCGCTCCTGCCTCACCCTCTTCACTCACTCCCGCTCCACCCGCTGGCCCTCCCGCACCGGCCTCGCAACCGACATCCTCCTCTTCCTCTCTATCCTCTTCGCGGTCGCGCAACTCGGCTTGTGCGTCGCCATGGCCCATCGTCTACTCACCTCTCCCCAAAGCGAAGTCGACTGCTTGAATGTAGATGCCGGTAGCAACTTTGACTTCACCAAGTACGGGATATACGGGGATACGTATGGGATTGTGTTGACTAGCGACGTGAAGACGTTGCCGGTGCTGTATGCGAATGTGGATCGCGAGAAGTTCTGGCATGGAATGGATGTTGGGATTAACAGTACGGACCCGGGGCTGACGGGGCCCGAGTATCTTAGTGGGAAAGAGAGGGGAGGGGTCTTGTAAGTTTTGTCTTTCTGTCGTACTATCCCATGTATGAAGACATGCTAACCAACATCCTCGCAGCACGATCATAGCAATCCTGATCTTCAACCCGCTTCTCCTAGTCGTCGATCTCCTCCTCCTCCTTCGGAGCCACTACCGCTCCGCACGCATCTCCAACCGTGCCGGCATGCTCTGGTCTACTTGCCTCGCCATCTACTTCGTGCTGGTCGCTTTGGGCACTGTTTGGATGAATACTTTCCCCAGTAGCAAGATCGATTATAGTTTGGAGCACACTGTGGCTCTCACTAGGGATTCGTGTTGGCAATACGATAAGACGATGTATACGTTGGATAGGTGGAGTCGATGGGCGAAGGGGATTGAACGGGGTTGTGAGGTTTTGGGCTTGTTGGGAGCGGTTTGGTAAGTTTTACGATGATGAATGGATGGTGATGTTTGGGAAATAAGCTAATCAGTATAACAACAGCATGGCTATCTACTTCGGCTTCGCGCTCGCTGCTGCATACATCAACCGCAAGACAGACGCGCAACAGTCCATGCGACTAGACGATCTCAGCGGCGCTTCTTCCCTTACTCCGGCCCAACAAAACCTTCGCGACTTCCCTTCTTCGAGTCTCGGTGCTCATGCTACGCCTGTTCCGCTGAACAACTTCGGTCTCACATTCATCGATGGTACTCCAGGCCAGCAGCCGAAGATCGCAACATCACGAGCGTCGCCCGAGGACCTAGAAGCGCATGCAAATCCGTTCACGGATCCGGCAAATCTGATTAGGGAAGGGGCAGACAGGGAGGTTGTGCCGCCAGAGCCGGCAAGACAATGGAGATAGGCGGGTGTGACAAAGGTGCCAGGAGGTGTACCGGCAGCATGGATCGGTATTTACCACTTTCCCGGTATCCGTCTATACCTGTCGTGGACTCGACCCTGTAGCTGACACTTCCATGGCAGATTCATATCTCGCTAGCTATCTTACTGATAATTCACACCATTTACTTCCTCTTACAATCGACTGCCCTCATATCTTCGCTAACCACTAGATCAACTGATCACATTGCCATCCCAAAACGGACGTGAAAGAGACTCGGACAATGATGGTGTCATCCGATACTCGACAAAGAGCGTTGCTGTCTACCTTGGTGTCTTTGTCCATTGCACCGCATCCTTTTTGCAGGTGTCTTCGGCTTTGTTCGAAGAACTCGAGGAAGATGCTACATATCCTCTTCGAGCGCAACCCGTGTTTGTGAACGTCCAAAGCCTGAGCAATCTATCTACCTTTATACTACAGCGAATGATCATAGTGCGACTGCCATGTCCACAGACGGCGAACAAGGGCCACCGGCCAGCATTGATAACGGCGGTGGTAGTCCAGCACCTGCTGCGCCTGCTGCACCGGTCGCATTGGTGCCAGAAACCAACGAAGAGGTGATAAAAAGATGGATAGACCAAGTTTATCTCAACTATCCTCATTTAGGAAATACTCTTGCAGTCACAATGGAGGACTTTGTCAACATTCTCGCAACTAGGACCACGGACGCTGATAACAGTTGGTTATGGGATAATCAACTGGACTTGGCTACAGTACTCTTGACAGTGGTTGCAAAGAAACGAAACGACATACTCATCATGCCAGCGGGTGCCGCGACTATATTGGCGAGCGTTGGCTTGTGTCTGACCGATAAAGAGAAGTTCAAAACTCTTCCCCGATCGATAAAATCTTATAAAACCATGACACGAAACGACGTCCGGTGGATTGTGATTCCAGTATCGAACGGTATGGCTAGTCGTCAGGAAGTGGAACGTGTCAAAGTGGCGAGGGCGGAAGCCAGGGAGGCTAAGAGGAACAAACAAGTCGTAGAGCAAGAGCAGGGAGCCACAGAAGAACAGATACACGAGCAAGATGCAATGGTTGTTGGTGCTCAAGAGAGAGATCCGAAAGAGGATAAAGAAGAAGACGAAGAAATTTTGATCCCAATGCAATCTCGCGGCGGTACGCACTGGGGTTTCATGGTGATCGACAAAGAAAAAAACGATGCCCGATGGCTGGATGGCCACGTTGACGTGAGACAGAAAGCTAACAAGCACTGGTATATACACGAGATGATTCCACAAGGACCGGCGTGGGCTGCTGGAAAGATTCTCTGTGGATACGACAAGGTTATGGATCTAGAGCGAGGAGGGTTCACGGCAGCCACACTCAAACACGTCCCTCACGATACCAAGAACAACAGCTATAGAGGTGATCATCACTCAGCGTGTGGGCCATGGGTATATGCCATGCTCAAATACATACTCGATAACAAGAAATTCCTGACCGATGCGGGCGGACTCTACAGTGCGTTCAGTTCGAGATATAGGAGAAAACACCCACAAAAAATGGCGTTCAACTCGCTCCAAACACGCAGAGATATGCAGGAGATTATCCGAAAAGAGGCCGACAAGAACTTGGGCGAGAACGTTTTGCCGTACAAAATGACTGTGCGCGTTGTGCAGATCCTAGGCCTTCCTAGTACTGGTCAACTATGCGATGCGGTCGCATCCTTGAATCCGAATCGGAGGGCCCCACCTGGACCAGGTGGCAACAGAAGCTCAAGAAAGAGGCCGGGCAGTGACGATGAAAGTAATGACGGCGACGACGACGGCTGGCCAGACGAGCACGAAGGAGTTTCGCGTGCCCAGTACCAGGTGTATTTACAAGAAGGCGAGCCATACACCAAAAATCGTCTGGATGAAGTTGTAAAGGCGTTCAAAGACAACCAGGACGACATTGCGCGCAACTTCCAACGAAAGAAGCATGGAGTTCTTACCAAGAATCCGGAATACAAGTTCCCTCAAGGCTTCAGTAAGGACAAACTACCCGCATTCGACCAACTAAAGATGGACAGTTCGGAACCGTGGTACACAATCTATCAAAACGACCTTCTCAAGGTTGACGATTCGAGAAGCCTTGCCCTTCAAACATCCAGAGCGGTGCTCCACAGCGTATTCAAAGGTAGCTTCAAAGGCGAAAACCCGGCGGTTCTCAAGGACTACCTTAATGCGCATGCTTTCACGTTCGCAGAACGCTCTCAAACCTGGACATCTGAAACTATCGCAGAACGTCTAGACCAGACTTATTTGGACCTGGCTCTGCCATTGTTCGCTTCTTTATCCGACGCAGGGGTGGACATCTGGGTCAAGAACTTGCATCCTAGCGCCAAGAAGGTGATACAAGATGCCGCTGGTGTCACTCAATACACTACCGCCCGTGGACTTCTGTATCGCATGTTCATTGGCGAGTTCGCAGACATGACGGACAGGGATGTCGATGAATGGCGCGCAAGCGATCCTCATATGTTAGAAGCTGGGAAGCAAGATCTGGGGGTCGCGAGATGGTGGTTGACATGGTACTACTACCAGGGTGATGCGATGGAGAAGCTGCCGTATTTGGCAGAGAGTCCACTTCACTGGCCACCTCGTGAGCATCGAGAGGTACATGGACAGAAGAGGAAGAGAGCAAGCGATGCAGTGGATGAAGGCGATGATGCGATTGCCGGGCAGCCTTCATCTGACCCTAATGATGCATCCAATGTCGCCCAACAGGATCCGAACACAATCCAGTGGGCCACGATCGACCACGCTACGCTCATGAAGCATGTGACGAAGGAAATCCGAGAAGATCCGCGCATTGGTGAGCTATCAAACGACTACACGTACAGAGCCATTCTCTTCGTGAAACACGGTGGGACGTTCAAAAATGAGAAAGACCGTGCTGGTATCTGGATCCGTGATCTCAATGTCTTTACGCTAGGCTACGAGGATCAAATCCCCAAACGTGACGTCTTTCGCGCGAAAGATGGCGGGTTGGTCATCCGACCCACTCAGGCTGAGATCTTGAAGCGGATGAAGGAGAAGTATGAGAAGACCTCTAGCAAGCCTGCATCGACCGCTAAAAAAACACCCTCGGGCCGAAAAGGTCCACTAGGACCCAAAGGGCCTCCGGGATCTCAGAAACCTGCAAAGACTTCGAAGCCTTCGAAACCTTCAAAGACTTCAGAATCGTCAAAGCCGTCAAAACCGTCAAAACCGTCAAAACCGTCAAAACCGTCGAAAACTTCAAGCCGTCCAAAGGCTACAAGCCAGCCAGCTCCACCTCAGCCAGAGCTCCCGAACATTCTCGTGATCAACAACATGCTTGCCCAAGAAATTGCGAACTTCACGCATATGGCAAGTGATCAAGTTAGAGAGTTTGTCGATCTGCTTCCGTCCAAAATCGTCGAGAGTAGACGCCCAATGGACACTTTGGGCTGGAAATCTGTTCTCCAAAAACTTTTCAGCACGTTCGAAGATCTATCTTCCGCGGATATGGAGGTTTGGCTGGACCATCCGATTTTTGAGGGGCGTGAAGAAGTAGAGGTCGACGAAATGGTTGCGAAGCTGAACGAGAGCGTCAAGGAGCTTGGTGATATTTCTTTCAAGGGAAGATCCGGTTTTTATCCCAAGAGCTACCTGTACGAAGCAGTCGCGCGAAACTCGGTGGATTCGAGCTTTGAGCCGGTGGTCGCCCAGCCTGAGAATGTCGACCTTGGAAATCTGGATGGTCTCTCTGGATCTGGGGAAGAGTTCAAGTCTGAGTCTGATGTTGAAGACGAGCCGGAAGATACGGCTACGGGTGCCAAACGGAAGCGTGCACAGGCAGAAGCAGATGCACGGGCGAGGAAAAGGCGTAAAGGCGAAGCCCCAGATTTCCGCGTTATGGCAGAGACTGACCTCGCCATTTGGGTCAAGGAGCTTCCATCTGACTTGAGAAAACCACTGCTTGACGATATTGGCGAAGAGTTGCTATCGGCGAAGGCGCATATCGCACGCTGCTACCTCGAGCGCATATACAAGAAGACGTTTCAGACTTGGGCCGCTGAGAACCCCTTGACTGATGCGAGCGTGAAAGAGATCAGGCTATGGAGGAGTTTGGGAACGTTTGACCAGCGCAAAAAGTACGAAAGAAAGAACAAGCAGGGTCTGAAGAACTTTTGCGAAGAGCAATTGTTCCCACAGACAAGATTGATTGACACTGGAGGAGAGAAGAAGAGCGTCGAATTACCGGATTATAGTAATGACAAGGATAAGTGGCCGGAGGAATGGAAGTAGGAGACAGGATGAACGAGGCGCGTAGACCATAGATCAGGTGTTTGTTCGTCATCTTTGTGTGATGTGAGGGAAGATCTATTGATCTCGTGTGTACATTAGCTTGTGTTGTGAAAGAGCCCAGCAAACTTCAATGAATGCTGAACGTTGTCGATCTGCTTTGAATCTCCTCCTCAGTCATGCTAGCAAAGAGCTCTCCTTCCATATACCCATGGACATAACAAGCCCCGATGAGCCTCGCAACAGTGGTACCATCTCGATCTTTGTACTCATGGAGTATCACCGGTACTGACGATCCGTACAAGATACAAGCCATCATCTGACTGTCTTCCCAAAGCTGCAAGTGTCCCGACCCAAAACCTATGATGGTGTCCAGTTGAGCGCCGTCGCTGTTTTCACAACGAAAAGATTGCCGGTTTTCCGTCGCCTCTTTTACGCGTCTGAGGTAGTTTACCAGTGTACCTGGTTGCGATGGATCGGTTATCAAGGCTGTGGTATCTAAATTACCAAACTCATCAAGTTTTGTGAGTGCTAACGCGCATGCGCGGCGGTACCACGTAGGAGCAACTTTTGACTCTGAATCACGGTTCGCAACGAGAGTCCTCCAAAGCTGTTCGTCTATACCCTGTTCCAAAGATCCCTTCCATCCGAGCATCCTAAGCCATTCGTCTTCGATTAGCCCTTTTCTGGTGGGTGATGGGGAAACGGTAGTGATTCTGCCCAATATCATGCCTCTGGCATGAAGCACGAGGTTGGGTCCTGGGTGATGTCGCAACAGGGGTGGCATCATATTGAGCTCGGCGTCGAATTCATGACTTGAACTGCTCGAAGTTGGAGAGGCAATCTCCTCTTCCGATGATGTTATATGAGTCTGGACAGCCACGCCGCGAGACCCATCGTAGACCTGGCCGCCAACTGGACCTAGTAGGTTCTCCGGTGGCACGTGTCGCGTACGAGGAGGAGGTTCGTATGACTCTTCCATCCAAGAGGCTGGAAGGTGGAGCCGACGAGCACCTTCGAACGAAGCTACTGCAATCCAAGAGGGTAGACATCGTCCCTGGTAAAGGGCTCTATGGTGGACGCCTGGCCAACTCGCCCAAGGCCGGCACAGGATATCCAGAGATTTTGAAGTAGCTATGCTATACCGGACAAACTCTCCAAAGATATCTACTGGATGCTTGGAATAATCAGACGTGAAAACACGGTAATCATCAGACACTGGAACTTGCGCGGTGACAAGGCGTCCTCTATCCTTCGCAAGGTACAACAAGGCGTAGACTACATCTCGGTTATCTGATACCGCAGAAGGTGAGGCTGTCAGGACTAGAGTCTCCAAGTTCATCAATCTGGAGATGACGGATGAATCCGTCGACTTTCGGAAAATGTTGCGCGAGAACGTCATCAACGCTACAGCCTGTGAACATTCGATATAGTCCAAAGCATTAGGATCTGTTTTGTATAGCGAAGATTTGCGATACAGTGTTCGCATTCGGTCGATGTTGTCCGAATACAGTTCCACAGCATCCGCAAAATCCAGCCAGCTCAAGATATGGTCCGCTATGCGCACAGATAATCTCCTTGCACATGCTACTTCCTGGATAACCCACCGGCGTTTGAACCATGGCCGTTGCAGGATTCTACCGAAGGCGACCCAAGAGCGAAGTACGTGTCCGCTGTGGGGCTTTCCTCGCAGGTCGATATCGAGGGTTTTGAGATTCAAGATGTCTGGCACCAGTTCTACGGCCAACTTGATACTCCATGGTATAGATTCGTCCCCTCCAAGCCATGCAATGACGTTCCATGCATTTGAGTAGATGTAAGGCATCTTGGGAATCTGCCGCCCTTTTTCGGCTTGGTCGTCTTGATTGAGGCACAAAGCATCTACCCAGATCCACGAATAGTGGTCCGTGAGACGAATGTGTCGCAAGGCTTGATAGAGATTTTCTCGAACTAAGTACGTGTAGGATTGCGTCGCTGCGGTAGTGGATGTGTCTTCGCCTGATCTGGGAAGGTCGCTGAGGGTTATGGGAAATGAAGGAGCATCATTACCCCATGCATACGAAAGTGCCTGGAATTCGTGAAGCGTTGTCGTCAGCGTTTCCATGGGAACAATCTTCAAGGAACAAGACAGCAGATCTCCAAATGGAGCAGGGGTAATGCGGAGAAGGCGGATCTCATCGTCCAACAGAGAGGTATACTGGTAGCCTGGCGTATTCTCCCAAGGTTGACGTGGTATCTGAACTGAGGACTCAGAATCATTCATGAAAGGTGTTGTATAAATATCTAAATTCAGTAGGGATGAATGGGTCGCCCAATCAGGAGCTTGCCGCTCGGCAGGAGATACACCTCGGGCCGGTGAGTCACCATGATAAAAGCTGCCCGCTGGCGATTGTGATCGTGTTCTCTCGTTCTCTGAGTAGTGATTGGGCGAAGTGGCGCGATCGCGAACTGGAGTTCTCCCTCTATCTTCCCCTGTACGAAAGTGGCTCCAGCTGTTAACCACTGACTCAGGCTCCCGGGCTTGCTTGTCCAGCTCTTCTCTCAAGGTCACGCGCTCTTTCCGGTCGCGCCTCGCTTCCATCTCGAGATCGCACTCCCTCTTCAGACGGATGCAATTGCTACATCGGCCTTGAATGTCGTCTGGGGCTAGAATGCATCGTATCTTTCTTCTCCGACAATGAGTACACGCGACAGATGGTCTCTGATATCGACCTCTTGTTTGTTGGCGGGGTTCGTTCGATGGTGAGGGTTCCATTGATGCGACGAAGGTGACGTTGCTTGTCTTATCAACCAACAATAGAGGCTCACGATGAATAAAGCCCGGCTGCGTTATAGAATGATGGAAGGCTGCTGGGGAAGTGGTAAACTTTTGTCGTACCTATGCACTGCGCCATGCATGCAGGCAGCTGCAGATTATCGGTAAGTCTTGTCTGCTGACGCTATGCCGTGTTTACACTCGCGGCTATGCACAGCCTCGGTCGTCGTCTTGGAGCTGTCTAGTGGTCAACCTCTGGAGTATGGTTCAAAGCTGATTGTTGGGAACGTGGCGTAACAAGTATGCTTAATTCATTCGCGAGGTAACGATTACTTTGATGAAACATTCCGTTGCGATGCCGAGGCGGTTTGACATAATTGAGGCTGTGCGTGCGGCTGAGCACCGTCAGACTTGGTTCGCGATCTCCATGGTCGGAAAGATTGTTGCTCCATACCAAGTTTGCAATGCCGCGTTCTGGATCGCAATGTATCTTACCGAGAACAGGACGCGACTGATTAGGGCGTCCGTTTCTCGATAGTCGAAATCTTGGGTATCACATCTTGGAGTTGCTCTCGATCTTTCTCGGTTGGGGTAAGACCAAATTTCTCCTCAGCCTTGTCGGATATGTAGAGGCCAGCGCCCGCGTACGCCATGACGCCCACACCAATGATCATGCGCGTCTTGGGCGGTATGTTCTTGAACCATCTATATCAATGTTAGTAATGGGAACGTACATATGCAGGGTGCGCACGTACTGCCAGACAGCCATGTCGAGGATGAGGATGTGCACACGCGTTGGTGTCGCAAAGTTCGCGATGACGACGCTGAGGGCTCAGCGCCAAGCCTGGAGCAACTCTCAGACTCGAGCGCGACACGACGTCAGCGCTCACACGTGTAAACCCGTCTCGTACATTCACTCATTAGCCTTGAATACCGTTCTTTCATTCACCACGCAATAGTCATCCCGTTCGAGCCAAGCATGGCCTCATAGCTTGGAACCTTGAACATCGATCGCCGCACCTCCGCACCCACTGCGCACCCTGAGACCACCTGGGCAGATGTGCGCGCTATTACCACCCGCCTCTTGAGCGCCTCCGCCAGCACCATAAGGCCTCCACCACTCTTTAACTATGCCCGGCTTCCGCCGCTGGGGCAAGTCCAAATTCGAGCGGAATCCCGAGTCGTCGTTCAAGCTCCTCGCGGCCATCATCGTCATCACCCTCTATCTCCTCATTAAAGAGTTCCAGAACCCGACTGTTCGAGACAGGGACATACCGAAGTTTGGCGCACAAATACAACATGCGGATTGGAACGGAACGGGCAAGGCTGACGAGGCACGAGCAAAGAGCGTGCGGGATGCCATGAAATATACCTTTTGGAAGTACAGGGAGAACGCCTGGGGCTGCGATGATATCCTGCCTGTGTCGGGAGGCAACTCGTCATCCAGAAATGGGTGGGGAGCTTTCATCGTGGACTCCGCGAGCACATTGGCACTCATGGGGCTATGGGACGAGCTGGCGCATTCTCTCGAGCATATACTCGCTATCGACTTCAACGAAGCGAAGGACCTCGTCGACCCATTCGAGACCACCATACGATATCTGGGCGGGCTTTTGTCTATTGTGGATATGTATGACACTGGGCTCATCCCGGAAGACGTACTGAGCGAAGAGGCACGCGATCTTGTACTGGAGCATGCTGTCACCCTAGCGGGGAAGCTTGCTCCAGCATATGACACCCCCACAGGCATGCCATGGCCTCGTGTCGACTTTGAAACAGAGCAGGGCGAGCCGGATCCTTCCTTCGTCTTCAGCGACGACCCAACCAAACACGGCTACGACCAACACCCTGCTATAGGCCCTGCGCGAACAGGCTCTTCAATCCTCGAAAACCGCGTCTTGACCAGATTGACTGGCAACTTGACATACACACAGAACTCGACGAACGCGTGGGCGCCACTTGTATGGTCGAAGTGGAAGACACCGTGGCCAGGCATGGTTGACGCACCTGTCGACATCATGACAGGAGAGCCAGTGGGCCGTCAGAGGCACTGGGATGGTGGACACGATTCATACTACGAGTACCTCGTCAAGATGACGCTCTTAGCACCGCCAACAGATCCTCATCTCGGCACATACAAACACCGCTTCACAGATGCAGCGTACTCCTTGCGCAAACACCTTAGTTCCCGCTCCGCACCAGCGCCCGATCACTTCATGCAACACCTCTACATCGGACGATACAACAA